GGCATACATTTAGGGCACAGCCTCATGGGCTAAGCCTCAGACCATTTGTATATTCTGTTTCCCAGGACACTATTCAGGTAGGAGTAGGACAATCAGACTTGGTTGGAAAAAAATGCTCTCCTCTTTCCATGTTAGAATTTGAAATAAAGGAGTATATCCCCTACACCTTTTCAATCTATATATGGAACATAGACTGGGCTCTATAAGGAAGAATGTGGCATCAGATTTGGAGGAAGACTTATCAACAGCCTCTTATGCAGATGACCCAGCTTGTTTGCTGAAATTGAGGAGGACCTGAGGCATTTGCGGTAGAAGGTCAAGGACTGCAGCCTTCAATATGGACTGACACTCAACATCAGGAAAACAAAGATTCTCACCACTGGCCCAATTGGCAGCATCATGATAGATGTTGAAGAGATTGAGATTGTTAACAGCTTCCGTTTGCGGGGCTCCACAATCAACACTCTTGGTACCAGCAGCCAAGAAATCAAAAGATGAATTGCATTGGGAAAATCTGCAGTCAAGGACCTCTCCAGAGTATTAAAGAGCAAGATTGAGGTGCGCCTGATAAAGGCCATGGTCTTCGCAATTGCTTGCTATGCACCAGAGAGCTGGAAAATGACTAGAGATGATAGAAGAAGAATTGATGCCTTTAAGCTGTGGTGCAGGAAAAGAATATTGAATATACCATGGAGAATAAACAGGTTCATCCTGAGAGGGTGAAATCAAGCTGCTCTTTGGAGGCAAGAATTCTCAATTCTGAAGCTCCATCTGACATACTTTGGGCATGTTACATGTAGTGACCAGTCCTTGGAGAGGGATGTCATGCTTGGGACGGTGGAGGGACAGCACAAGAAAGGAAGACCCTGGATGAGATGGATTGACTCAGTGACTGGGATTGTGTGTGTGTGGGGGGGGGGGAATGTGTCCAAGGTGATGAAGTTCACATAGGATACAGCAGGGTTCAGAGATGCTGCACATAGTGTCACTAGCATTGCAAGCAACTCAATGGCACTTAACAGCATAATAGCAATAATATCCCCTTTATATGTGTACTCTTCAGCCTCAACTAGACCTCCACAGGCTTGCTTCCTTACCACATCCTTAGCATTTCCTCTGGACACATTCTCCTCCCTGTGCCTCAAACTCCTTCTTCTAACCTCCACTTTCTGTTCAACTCTTTTTCTTTCTTCAAGACTCAACTCATGTCTACTCCTGACCTGATCTGAGTCAGGGGTCAGTGATTTGTGTATGTGTGCTCTCTGTGCACTAATCACATTGCTCTAATTTATATTAATTTTCCACCTTTCTCCAAATTCTTTGATAGCAGGCAGCATGTCTTAACCATCTTTGTATCCCCATTACCCGAACAATGTTTAGTCCACAAATTATATACATCAGATGATGGATGGATGCAAAAACCATCGTAGGCTAGAGTGACCCCCTTCATCTACATGAGCTTTCCCATTGGGACAGAAAATAACTCACAGTAATGCCAGGTGCCACTTTGGTTTTCCAGGTGATCCATGTTGACACTGGCATGTATGAGTGTTAAAATGTTAGTTATTGCTGGAAAAGAAAGACAATAAAGAACTTATTTTTCTCCCTATCAACTGAGAGAGAATAGATATTTCCGAGAATTATTAAATAATCATTTATTAAATGGTCAAGAATAGAATAAATATTAAAGTATAACCTTCATAATAGTTCACACTAATCATGTAACATGGCTTTAAATTAGTAGCTGTATTGGGCTTTTAAAATAGTCTATCCTATAGGGAAAGTTTGGTCTGGATTATAAACCATTCGTTCAAAATTATTGCCTCTCCTGAGTTTGAGGAAGAGAGAGAAGCAGCAGAGGATCCTCCAGTGTTTGCAATGATTGAAGACTGTCAACGCACGCATTTCAAGATTCATGGTCCAATAGACGTGAATTCCATGCTACCCAACTCTCTCTTGAGAAAAAGCAAGAAGGAAGATGGGAGAAGAGACAAGAAATGTTACCCTGTGGAAGCCTTGCCCAGAAATATTAAGACAAGAAAACAAGTCTGTTACGGAAAAGAACACAAATAAGTCTGTTATAGAAAAGAATGGAAATCCAAAATCTCTGTAGATGTTCATTAACATTAATAAAATAATTTAAAAAATAATAATATCTAGGCACATGGTGTTCTTCCTTTTATGCATCATTGAAACAAGCTTGGGCAACATCCCAATAAGCAAATATCAATAAAGAATGCTTGTTCTGGGGGAGGGGGGAAGAATCCTAGTTCAGGGACTAGGATTCCTTGGGTCTCTCCACATGTATATATATGCTGGCTTCTTTAATACTTGAAAGGAGCCCCCAAAATTCCCAATGAAGCCACAGTCATAAAGTGTTATATGAGAGCTTGAAAACACTGATTACGAATTTAAAAACCACACATTTTACCCACTCAAGCAATAATATTTATGGCACGTAGAATAGCAAGCCTCTTTGCCAGCACATTTAGTGACATTTCTGAAACATGAACAATTACAGCGTTCCTTAGTTTACTTGGATATGTGGTAATTTCTTGTTTTTAATGGAAAATGCTGAAATGTTATATTACAGTGTTCGGGTTGAAATAAATGAGTTTTTTACATTGTTTAGAAAACGTTTTGAAAAGTGCAACCCTGGCTCACTTTCCATTATAGCTTCAAACGAGCATGCGGTTGAATGATTCACCCCCACCCCCCTCCAATTCAGGGCTCAATGTTTCTCTTAGATTGCAAATGGGGGGTGAAGCTGAGCTATATTAAAAATAATAATAGCACTGGAACCTTGAATTTAATTGAACACCAACTATATTAATATGGTCAAGACATCTAAATTCCTTGAAACTCAGTTCCCTAGTCTTTATATGTAAAATGGGGGTGTTAGAATACCTACTTCCTTGAGATGTAACAAAAGTTAAATGAGACAAATGTATAGAAATGTGCAGAACAATGTCAGACATTGAACTAGGTGCTTGACCATGTTTTGCACTTGTAGTCAGCAGTCATTTCACGGAGCTCTGATGGTCCAGAGGTTAAGGAGTTGCACTGTCACCCTAAAAGTACGTAGTTCAAATCAACCAGCTGCTCCACTGGAGAAAGAAGGGCAACATCCCATGCAATTTACAGCCTCTGAAAACCCTGCTGGAAGGTCAGTTGGGAGTTGGTTCTGACACAATGATAATCAATTGGTGTTGTGTAGAGTCAGCAGTCATTTCATGATGACTATAATGTCACCACACCCCTGGTAGCTTGGGGACACTGGAGAAGCAAGCAGCAGCCCCAGGAGTAAGATTTCCTGTCTTATCTCAAGGCACATTCTTGTGCTATTCATGTTAAGTTGCAGGAAACACCAAAATTGACTCTTGGAAAGAGATCTCAACTGTCTCTTCTAAGCCAGTATCAGGGCCCTAAGGATGGCAACTATTATAGAGATATGAGCACAGACGTGCTCAGGACTTAGGGACACATGAAAAATGGGGACTGTGGGAAGGAGAGTCTTTTCCAGCCATGCATGTGTAGCTGGTGAGTAACTACACAATGTGAGAAGTCATTTATTCCAGTCTGAACATTGCAGTATGACATTTAAGCATATTTCATTAAAAATCAGAAATGACTGCAAATCCAAGTGTGCCAAGGGCTAAATGTGTAATTCAGGCTGCAAGATATTTCTATACAGCCCATGTTATAGGAATCCCAGATAAAAATAGGGGGGAGGGGGATAATGATTTCCCATCTGAAAGGTTTTGCAGCTATTTGTCTAAATCCTGTATTTCCTTCATTGCAATTTTGAACAATGAACAGAGAAAACACACACACACACACACACACACACAGAAAACAACAGGTTGCATGACAGAGCATATATTCCTAGCAAGTTACTACAGCTCTTGCATCAAAGTTCAATCTAATCAGAGGCATCTTGCAAAACTATATTTTGAGAAAGATATACATACCTATGCCTTCTTGCAATTTAACATTTGATGCTTTCATTTCCTAATTTTAACATGCAAATATTTTACAGGTAGAATTACCTGATTACAAAGACTTTTTTAAAAAATATTGTTTCACTTAAAACAATTAATATACATTGTTTTTCTTTTTTTTAGTTTCTTTTTTTGAGATTGTAATGAAAGTTTATAGAGAACTTGGATTTCCATTCATTGTTGCACATTTTCCTCCCTGGCCCCCCTCCTCCCAGTTTGCTTTTTTCTTTGGAAGAAAAAATTTTTTTTCATTGTTATACAGACACACACACTCCCATGTCCACTTCACTATGTAGCTCTTATTCTGGACTCATGTTATGCAAATAATATCTAATTATAAATTCCTTTCATACAGTTCTCTCCCTCATCTGTTTCAATACTGTGCACATTATTTATCCCTTTTTCTTCGTTTCCCCTAGCCACCATGTCAGTCCTGTTTTATAACAGTGGCATTATGCAGTATTCGTCTTTTTTGTGACTGAGACATTTCACTCAGCATAATGTCCTCCATGATCACCCATTTTATATAATATTTCATGAGTTCTTTGTTTTTCAGTGCTGCATATTAGTCTATTGTGTGAGTATATCACAGCTTCTCTATCCATTCCTTTGTTGATAGGTACTTGGGTTATTTCCAACTCTTTGCTATGTTGAACAAAGCAGCAATAAATATGGGTGTGCAATATATACATTGTTTTCCACACCAGCTCTTTTGCCTTTCCTTTACAGGATTTGGTCTAATGGCAGCTGTGCTGCCAACCCAAAGGCATGTAGTTTGAAGGCACCAGCTGCTCTTTGGGAAGCAGATGGGTAATCTCCTCCCATGAGATTTACTGCCTGTGAAAACCCACTGGAGAGTCAGCTATGAGCCAATTAAAACTTGACAACACATAGCAATAAAAATATATATGATTTTAAGATTCTTGAGTCCTGGGATTATAATTTTTTTTCCACTGGAAAATAATTTTTTATTGTGACCCCCTCCATCTAGTCCTGACATTAGGCACCTTCTTCTTTTGCAATGCGGTCTTTCTTAAGTGGTCCCATGAAGGCCTTCTTCTCCTCCATTGTCTGGAAGCGACCATGGCCAAACTTGGAGGTGGTGTCTATGAACTTGAGATCAATCTTCTCCAGAGCCTGACGTTTGGTCTGCACTAGCAAGGACTTGTGGAGAATCAGCACTCGCTTCTTGGTCACCACCACACAGCCTTTCAGCGTAACAAAGTCGTTGGTCACTTCACCATAGTGGACAAAGCCACCCAGAAGATTGATGCTCTTGTCTGAGAGATCGTAGTCAGTGGAGGCATTGTTTTTGATCACCTTGCCGTCCTTGATAACGTAGCCTTGGCCAATCTTGTAGATTTTCTTGTTGATCTCCGTGTGGCGATGGTAGCCCTTCTGCCCAGCACGGGCCACAGAGAAGGCCACTCGGGCAGGATGCCAGGCCCCAATACAAGCGACCTTGCGCAGCCCTCGGTGGGTCTTGCGGGGTAGCTTTTTGGAGTGCCAGCGGTTGGTGACCCCTGTTAGGTCTTAGAATCTACCTTCCCAATCAGATGCCTGAGGATCAAGTGCGGCAGCCACCCTGCTCCCCTCACCACCTCTGACCACAGGCTGTTCTCGGGATTATAATTTTGAACCATTGAATGCTGAGCAAATTATTTAAGAAGCTGGACTCTATGAAGAGTGTGGCATAAGGATTGTAGAAATAACCTGAGTTATGCAACTGACATAACCTTGCTTGTTGAAAGTGAGGAGGACTTGAAGACCTTGTTGAAGAAGATCAAGGAATGCAGCTTTTATTATGGATTGTATCTCAATGTAAAAAAAATAAAAAGATTCTTACAAATGGACCTACAGGCAACATCATGATGGATGGAGAGGAGATGAAACTGTCAACAGCTATATCTTATTTGGATCCACAATTAACACTCTTGGTACCAGCAGTCAGGAAATAAGGAGAAACATTGCACTGGGAAAATCTGCAGTTAGGGACTTCTTCAAATTATTGAGGAATTATGATGTCAGTTTGAGGAATAAGGTGCATCTGATTCAGGCCATAGTCTTTCTGATCACTTATTATGCATCTGAGAGCTGGACAGTGAATAAGGAAGACAGAAGATGAATTGATTCCTTCTAGCTGTGGTGTTGGAGAAGAGCACTGAACAGCCTGTGGACTGCCAAAAGAACAAACAAATATGTCATGGAGAGCATGTAGCCAGAGTGCTCTTTGGAGGCAAGAATGATGAGGCTTCTCCTCACATACTTTGGGCATGTTGCTAGGAGGGGCTGGCTATTCCTTGGAGAGGGACATGATGCTAGGAAGGGTGGAGCATTGGTGAAGGAGAGGATGACCCTCAGTCAGGTGATTGACACAGCAACCACCACAATTGGTTTTAGTGTATCAGGAAGTGTAAGGATGGCACAGGATAGAACAGGGTTCAGATATTTTATTCAGAGTCTCTATGAGTTGTACTTGACTCAATGGCACCTAACAACAACAACAGTCTTCCTGTACACCTAACTACAATAATCTCGTAAAATCTTAATATATATTAGTACTAGTTGCCCCCTCATCAATTCTGACTCATGGTGACCCCATATGTGAAGGGAATTTCACAGGATTTTCAAGGCCATGGCCTTTTAGTTCCAGTATTCCACAGAGCCTTTGGGTGGATTTAAACTTCTAACTGTTCAGCTAATAGTCAATTCTAGTAGCTTGCCCTACATAGAGATTCCTCAACCCATATTGAATTGATGCAAACAAATAAAAACAGACTTTTAAGTATAATAGAAGCCAAGTTGTTTTGCTTGCATACATGTTTGTCTGCATCCCACTTAAGAAAATGCAAGGTAAAATTGTGTCTGGCATAAGTTCCTTTTTGAATCAATGTGATTTCTAAACAATAGATACGGTTCTTCCTAGATGGCAACTTTTAGAGAGTGAGTTCGACACACTCAAAGAAGCAGGCTAACTGGCTCAAGTCACTGGAGTACGTTTTGTGTGTTGCAGGCAAGTTCAGAATTCCATAAAACAGAATGAAATATCTCAGGCTTGCTGCTCAGGGACCGGCCTCTCTCTCTGTCTCTCTCTTGCTTTCCTAAATACAGCAAAAGATTTGACTGTTATGGAGGCGTCTGCTTTCTCCATTAGAGAGGACAATGCAGCTCATAAAAGGTGATCAAAATATTGCTGCAGGTAAAGCATTTTTAGATGGAAAAAGAAAGCACCAATAACTTTTCCTCTCTGCCTGCCCTCAAAAGTGTCAGAAAGAAAGACAGTTACACTAAAAGGAAAAGGGAAAATGCTCCAGTCTGCTGGTATCGCAGGCTTTCCTGTCGAACTGCACAAAAGAGGATTCTTACACTCTTCCATCTTGGTGCTTTGTTTCCCCCCCCCCCCCAGGTGAACCGACACCAAAACCACACAGTTCAGCTTTGGGGAACTCTGAAATGAACAGTATGGGAAGCTAGCTGATGGTCTGGGATCAGATGTGAGACTAAAATGATTTACCCAAAGTTAAATATTCTTCCGTTTAATTTCCTCCAGGATTTATGAAGGCAAAGCCACCATAAAGTTTTATTTCCCAGGACATTCTCTGAAACAATCCAGACGCCAGGCTAAGAGAATTGCCTGTAGGAGCTGGCTGTTAGATTCAGCTTGAATCCTCTCCCTTTTCTGTGGTTCAATGCCAGCACCTCATTTTGATGGCATACTGGCCCAAAGTTGAAGCTGGAGCACCTGACCTTCCCTGAGCACACCAAAAAATCCAATTTCCCCAGGAAATTCATGTGTTTATTAGCTATAGAAAAAATGAATGCCTTTTTTTTAAAAAAAAAAAAAAAGCGCCTCTGTCTCAGAAACCGTTGAATGATTTCTGTGAGACACAGACAATAGGAGAAAAATCCAAGAGGGAAATAGGAGACAAGTAGATAGGATCAACTCCGAACAGCTAAATTGGGACTGAGAACAATACTGCGCTTTGATTGATAAGGTGATTTAAAAATTAAAAGAGGGGAGTCTATCTGTGAGCTGAATGCCAGCTACCTGAGATTGATGGATGGCATGAGCTTTCTCCGCTTTGTGGCAGTTCAGATAAAGATGTGTTTTCTTTTAGAGAGGTTCTTTATAAGGCAATTGTTTCAGGGGTGTGTGTGTGTATGCGTGTGTGTGCGTGCGTGCGCACGCAAAACATATCTGAATAAGGTTCTACACGTAGAATGCAAGGCTACTCCATAGCTTTGCACACTACTCATCTTTTGCATAGTTTGTACATAGAAAATGCACTTGGAAAACATCCTTCCTGGATGTGCCTCCATTTCCAGTTGTGTCTATGCACAGTGTGGAAGCCAGTATGATTAAGGAAAAAGTGATTGTATGAACCTCCAAATCCATCTGTCATGTCACTGGTATTGAAGAGCCTCATTGAAAAATTAGCCACCTCCTTCCCCCTACTTGTGTTTTCCCATCCTCAAGACAATACGGAAGCTCTTAGCTAGGAGAGAAGGGAACAAAGGGGCAAGGAATTCAATAAAAAAGAAATCCTAGGCAAAATGAAATATTGTTTCTCTGTCTGCATTGCTCTCTTCCTCTCCAATCCGCCAGAGCATTAACCACTTCTCTGCTGCACGAGACGAGGTGGCAGAGCCGTTTGTGGATTTTGGCTGCAAAAGACTGAAGTGTCTGAAGCATCAAGAATGTCCAGTGTGAAGAGTGACCGGGAGCACAAGAAGCTAAAGTGGGCACAGCAGTGCCAGCTAAATCATGAAAAAGTACTTTTCATTCCTATCTTTGGAATTTTCCCAATACACCTGCTTTAATTAATTGCATTTACAGACTCAGCAGCTTAATGGGTTTTTAAAATATTCTCTGAGCATGTTTGTGAACTTCCTAAAATTATATACAAAATGTTATTAACCTGTGTACATGTGCCTATTACTGGCCAGGGAATCCCTAACAATCATCTACTTATTTAAATAGTCTATGACCCATGGACATTAAAAACCACTGCAATAAGGTCTTTATTTTTACATTACTTTTTTCCTGTTTCAATCATAGAGGGTAGGATGTCTGTCATTGGGAATTAGGGATTGGGAGGAAAAAAATAGCCTATTTATGAAATACTTACTGGGGCCAAGAACAGGCCTTAGAGAAAAACACACAAACAGCAGAGGAGATGGAGTGAAAGATACTATACTCATACAATCTATTTTTACTATCTAATAACTGCAATTTAGATTTAGCCAAACATATATAAAATACACAATGCATAGATATTTTTTAAGAAACAAAATGCAAGAAAACAGTGTTTGTGACATGTTCTAACAATGCTGTCTTCAGGAGAATCTAAAAAAAAAATCTTATTTTAAAAGTTGATTGGAAAACATGCGACGAGTTGGACTAATGAGCTAATGTGAAATTTCTTCAGCTGGTATTAGTTTTAAAGAAAGTTAATTAAAATAGGAATATTGTAGAGCAGAAAACTAGTTTCAGGTCAGGGGCTTTTGGTGGAAAGAATTATTAGCATAGTTTGCCATGAGCAGGCTGGCCTGAAGTTATTGAAATTGTTAATCTGTGTACATTCATCTTAACTGGAATGTTTCTAAAAGTTAAAAAGGAAAATCAAGGTTCATGGGTATATTTCAGATTAAAGACTTTGCTTTAGGTTCAATAAAGGCTGGCAGGGCAAGGAAGATATCACTGAGATACAGAGATATAGATATAAATATATGTATATAAGAACTATCTCATAAGAAAAACATATACTTTTTTAAAAGAAGAGGGTCCCTTTTAAACCCTAACATTGATTCCTCATTCATCAACATGGAGAAATGTAAAGTCTCTCTTAAAAGACTGAAAAGTTCTCAGATGGCTAGAAGGAAAACTCAAGGTTTTGATATATTTAAAGAATGAATGTTCACACATACTAAAGCCTATTGGTTTTGAGCATATTCCAACTCAAGGAAATCTTATAGGAGAGAGTAGAAAAACCATTTAGGGTTTTCAATGCTGTAATTTTTATAGACGCAGACTCTACACATCTCTCCATAGAGAATCTGGTTGATTAATATTCTGACTTTGGGGTTGGTATCCAAATACTTTAACCACAGCATTACCAGGGTACCTTTCATATCATGACCATTAGCAGAAAACAAAAAATACTAAGTATTAGAAATAATATAAACTTTGAACCTTCCTCTATTGCTGATTGTAATGCCAAATGGTGTAGCCGCTGTGGAAAACAATTTAATGGTTCTTCAAAAAGTTAAGCAGAGAATTATCATTGTTGTTGGTGATTTTAGGTCCCTTTCAGTCAGGTGTGGCTCATAGTAACCCTATGAACGACAGATCTAAACTTGTCCTATCCTGTACCATCTTCTTCATTTCTGACACACGTGAACCCAATGTATAGTCCCTGTGTTAATCCACGGATTGAGGGTCTTCGTGTCTTTTGCTGACCCTCCACCTTTCCAAGCATGATGTCCCTTTCCTAGCAACATGCCTAAAGTGTGTGAGATGAAGTTTTGTCATCTTTGTCTCCAAGGGGCACCCTGGAAACACCTTCTCCAACAAATAGCTGTTTGTTCTTCTGGCATTTCGTGAGATATTCAGTACTCTTCTCCAACACCAATTAGCAGGCATAAACTCTTCTTTGATCATCCTTATTCACTGTCCAGCTCTCATATGCATTGCAAGTGATTGAAAAGACCATGGCCTGAATCAGGCAACTTTCGTCTTCAAAATGACACCAATGAAACTCAGTAATTTGGAGAGGTGCCTGATTGCATATTGTAGTGAATGACTGGTAACTTTCTACTCCTGATTGACCTCTCTAAGGAAAAGCGCCTCCTAACAACATACTCAAAGGAAAATGACCATGACTTAACAATATTACCCTTAAATAGATACAGAAATGATTTAAAAACAAAGACTCTAACTAGTATTTGTACACCAATGTTTACAACTGACAAGAATTACAAGCTGACCCAAGAATTTATCAACAAATAAATGTATAAATAAAATGTTATATATCCATGCATTGGAATACAAGTCAGCCATAAAAAGAAATGTAATTTTGTTATATGGTATGAATGGACCTTGATAACATTAAGCTGAGTAAAATTAATCAGACATGAGGATGTATGGTTCAAAATCAGGAAAGGAGTATGTCAAGGATGTATTCTGTCTCCATACCTTTTCAATCTATATGTGGAATAGATCATTCAAGAAGCTGGACTTTATGAGGAGAAATGTGGTATCAGAATTGGAGGAATACTCATCAACAAGGGGCATTATGCAGCCAACACAACCTTGCTTGCTGAAACGGAGGAGGACCTAAAGCATTTGCTGCAGAAGGTCAAGGACCAAAGTACTCAATATGGATTGTAGTTAAACAATAAGAAAACAAATACTTTCATCAATGGGCCATTTGGCAGCACCTTGATAGATGGAGAAGAGATTGATATTGTTAACAATTTCAGGTAGCTCGGTTCCACATTCTATATTCTTGGAACCAGGAGTTAGGAAATCAAAAGACAAATTGCATTAGGAAAATCTACTCTCAGGGACAAATATATAATGGGACTTACATAAAATCTCTAGACTTGGCAAATGCATAGACATAAAAGTGTGTAGTGTATACCAAGGATAATGAGAAGGAAAATGGAATTATGGCAAAAGGGGTATGGAGTTTCTATCCAGAGTGATGAAAAAAATATATCTAAATGGATGGCAGTGAGAGTTGCAAACCATATGAATGTAATTGTTGTTGTTCTTATGTGTAATCAAGTTGACTACAACTCAAAGTGATCCTATGAACAATGGTTCTAAACTCTGACCTAATTCTGACACACATGACCCATTGCCACCACCACTGGGTCAATCTATTTCATCCAAAGTCTTTCTCTCCTGCACTGAAGATTTATCCTTTCAAACATGATATCCTTCTCCAAGGATTGGTCCCTCTTTGCAATATGTCCAAAGTATTTGAGATGGAGTTTCAAAATCTTTGCCTTCTGTTTTCACGTTCTCCAGAATAGACCTGTGTGTTCTCTTGGTAGTGCATGGTATGTCTGAGACCCTTCTCCAGCACCACAATTCAAAAGTATCTATTTTTCTGTCTTCATTGTTCTGTGTCAAGCTCTCAGATACACAGCAAGCAATAGAGAAGACCATGGCCTGGATCATGCACACTTTAGTCTTAAGGCACTCTGGAGAGGTCCTTGACCACAGATTTTCTCAATACAGCTCATCTTTTTATTTCCTGACTGCTGGAACCAAGAGTGTTAATTGTGGATCCAAGCAAGATGAAATCATTAACAACCGAAATCTTTTCTATCTATCATGATACTGTCTATCTTTTCAGATCATAATGCCACAAAACTAGAAATTAACAATATGAGGGTAAAGCTTATAAAACCACATGGAAGCTAGAACATGATTGGGTTACAGAAGAAATAAAAATATAAATTCAAAGTTGCTTGAAACAAATTATAATGAAAATATAACATATAAAAACATCTAGGCTACAGCTAAGGGGACAGTTCATAGCAACAGGTAAATACACAAAGGAAGAAAGAAGCCAAATTAATGACCTAGCTCAATACCTCTATCAAATATAAAAAGAACAATAATCATACTCCATAGAATCTAGAAGAAAAGAAATATAAGGACAAGAGCTGAAATCAATGAGATAGAAAATAGAAAAACAATTGAAATTATTAACAAGACCAGAAGCTGATTCTTGAAAAGGGTCAGTAAAATTGAGGAACTATTGACAAACTTAACAAAA